AGTAACACTTCTGAAACTGGACTACGGAAGACAGATAGTTCACTTCGAAAGTCCAGGTCCAATTTTGCGGCATGTGCGCTAAAAGACGATCTAATTGTTGCTGGAGGATACTCAGCGTCAAAGACCATCTCAGGAGTAGAAAAGTAAGTTCAGATTCCAAGCTCAGATAAAACCACAGTAGGAAACATCCTGAATGAACAATACACTGCAGCGTGAAGGGGGTATCGTTAGTTGGGGCACTTAAACAAATATTCCGCGGGTTGTGGGTATTGGGGTTCAACATGCGATTTTAGGCATGACACCACTGAAAGGGAGTGAAAGAACGGAAAGGATCAAGAATTCAGACACTAACGTCGAGGGTTCTGTCAAAGGGAAAGACTTTTATCTAAGGACCTGTAGAATAGGACTGAATGGACGCAATCAGATTAAATCATAAGCCCCTATTAAGATTTTTTTGCCACATTGAAAAAGTACAAGCTTGGCGATTGTGAATCGGGCTACCACGAGCACACTTACTCATCAGGCGAAACTATTACTTACTATAAACATATATATAACATACTATATATAACATACTATATATAACTACTACTTACTATTACCTACTTTACTCATCAGGCGAAATGTGTCTTCAAAGCATGTCAGTCATTCATCTAGTACAAAATCGCAAAAATATTCGAATGGGAGCATGGCCGACGCAGCGGCTCACGAGAGTCAGTACTGACCAGAGATGAAGAAACGCTATGAGCGCGAAACAAAATGATCAGAGATGAACACTTAGAGAACAGAAATACGAGTGAGACCACCAGACCACTTCGTACGTTGGGGACTCCCAGCGGGGGGGTGGTATTTGGATGCTGAGGAGGAGCGGGTCGTAGTTTCTGAAAATTTTTCTCAGCGGCAGGACTACGAACTTCAAAGTCTCATGTCTGGGTGGCGTTACTAGGACATATTAAGAGCCCTCACTCCAAATGTTGTACAACCTCTGCGATTCCAGACCAGCTACTTTATGCAAAGGTTCGATGCATCTGCACAATAGGCGTGGGGTGTACTGTAAAGGTAATCAAAATGCTGTTGGTTTGCGCCCGGTGTTAGCTCAGAAAAGAAGTGAACAAGACGCTAAGTGTGGGGCTGTGACCGTATGCCTTTGCGATTAGAGCTCATGATACAGCAGTCGTGTCTTTAAGTCAGGTGAACGACGCGGTGTGAATCGCAGTCGACCCATCTCTCAACTTCGGTACTCTAACTCTCTTTGATGCAGGAGAAGAAGAGAAGCAGAGACAGATGAGACCTTGGTATAACACGTGCCATTTGTCAAGGTTTGCAACCATTCGGCTAATGAAAGGTTCCCACTTGAGGGATCCCTCGAGTGGGAACCTTTCATTAGCCGAATGGTTGCAGGGGTTGCTGTTGGTTATCCGAACCGGGGCCCTTTTTGACGAGAACTGCGCAAGTCTTCCACTACGTGGGGTCGTTCTTCAAAGTTAGTGCCTTCTTTCGCGAAGTGAGCGAACCGGCGATGGACGGTGATGAGAGTGGTGTCATCCCCCATAGTTTTGTTGATGCTGGAACTGCTGCCTCCGCTCGCTCTACAACCGCAGCGCCACTCATAGAAGATGATAACTCGATGAAGTTGACTACTGCTTGAAGCCAAGGATGAAATCGCTGATACACTTTCTGCAGAGGAGCTTCGAAAAGGTTCCACAACTTTCATATGACACATTATGAGCACCAATCAATTTATTGGAATTTATGGACTTCCCAAAAAAAGCCTCAGACTTTTCGATGAACCTACTGGACCCAAATTTGTAACGATCTCACATTTTTGTTAAAATCAAAATTCTCACCAGATTTGATGGTAAGCAGTGGACGGATTTACCGGATCTCCCCGCTAATCGAAGTGCGATGAGGATACTGATACTGCCAGATTTTCGCGACATTGCCTTGTCCAAGCTGGGTAGCGATGAAGATCAGAAAAAGTGGATGGAGGAGGAATCACGGGCGGTTATTGATAAAAGCGTGTAAGTCGTTTGCTAGCTGCCAACTTCTTTCAGCAACGTATTTAACACTTCAGTCCTGAATTTCAGTTCTTTCGAGTCCACTTTCATCTGACGTTCCTTCGTTTTCAGGTCAACGCAACGGATCAGAAATGAAGGAGAGCCACACCATCTTCCATAATTCCATGTAACCTGAAAGATATGAACGCCAAGCAAAACATCTTAAAACAATAATAAATTTCAATAGTTTGTTGGGAACAACCTAATTGGTAATGCTTCCCTCCTCATCAGTAGAGGTATGTATGTGACAAGACGATCGCAGTATGTCGCGCTGGTAAATGACGCCGCGCCGGACAAGCAGGTTGTCCTGTCTAGCCGTTCGAACTTGAGTATTAAAGGAACAGAATAATGCAATATCTCTAGTCGTAGAGTCTTAGCCTGTCCTAAATTCATATGTGTCTAAATACTCCAATCAACGAACGATGGACTCGAGAAGTTGTCCCCCACCACGGCATGATAGGCCGCTCCTGACGACGCGACAAATTACGAAGTCTTGTCCGTCTGCCAATCAGTAGCAGTAGGTGGCTCGTGGATATGATTACTTTGATTGGCCTAGTTGTTGCCTGATCCCCCAGTATGTGGCACGGTTTTTTTTTGAAAATTTTTTGGCTTTCCTCACAAAACTGCCATCGAGCAGGAGGGAGGGAGAGGTTGTCATATATCCGCTACTAATTTCATCTATCTGAATTGTAATTGTGTGGTAGTTCTGCTGCGCAGACAACCGAAGAAGGGTGATAAAGCGAACATTGAATACGAGAACACCGAGCCCATGAACCATGAAACAAAAGAACCGAGAAAAGTTAACAGCAGTTAACAGTTCACAGCTCGGGGAAATTTCCTTTTCTCAAAAGCCAACACAACCACGTTTCCTGACCTTGATGGGATGATCTCAAAGGTACTGTACCCTGCCAGCTATACACATATGGTGCTCATCATTGCAGACCGGTGGGGCGGGTGAGCCGCGCTGCGTGTGACTCGGCTGTGACGCGACTGTCATCGCTGCCGCGTCACAGCCGAGTCACACGCAGCGCGGCTCACCCGCCCCACCGGTCTGCAATGATGACTGTATGTTGGCTGGGTTGAGCTGTAAAAAATACAAAAAAGATTTGCTGTCTTCTACTGCATCGTAATGTTTTACGATACTACGCTTCGAGAATGAATCAGTAAAAGGGCCTCTAAACAGCATTGAGCGCGTGTCATTCAAATCCGTGGTGCGCTGTCGCTCAAGTAGTGTAATTCTCGAAGAGCCGACTTGGCGCGCTACAGCATAGCCACGTTGAGTGTGTTAGGTTCTGGCGCTCATGACCTCTGCAGGAGCGCTTCTTTGCCGCCCTCACCGTTGCTCCGATGTGCTGAACTACACCAGTTACGCGCTGGTTACGGAAACCCCTTCTATCGAATGTGAGGGCGTATGCGTAGATATCAATGAGCAGAGCGGTGACATCTTCGTGGTAGTGGTAGCTTTGCTCTACTTAGTTTGTCGCTTGTGGTCTTCGTGAACCGCGATACCTACTACTTATATCGTCACAATCAGTGGGAGAGTGTCACGAGGCATGGAATGAGTCTATCCATGGCGATTCCTACCACTGGATCGCTGTGTCGCAGGTCGCGCTTCTTCAGGTGATTAAGGGCGTCTGCAGGACGGCCCTAACGTCCCTGCTTCTGAGCCAGCGGTTTCCAGCCGTTTCCAGCAACAGGCCCATTACGGCAAGAGGAGCTTCACTTCATCAACACTCATTGTTCTGATCTTCTTCGCTTACCGTGATATATCTTTTTGGCGAGTCCTCTGGCCTAGTACGTTGTGCGAAAAAAAAATCAACAACGAGGCACACCTTTACCACCTTTTTCCGTGGAAATGTGTATACCTTCATATTCGTATCTAATCTTTTGTTTTCCTTCCTATTAGCACACCTGTGATAATTATATTGATGAGAATCAGCGAACAGAAAGTACGGCTCATTTCGTAGCGAGCACTCCAAGAATGTCCACGGTTTGTGTTAATTGAATGCTTGTAATGAATGCTTCGGTGTGTTCATGGCTTCTCTTTGAAGTTTTCCTAAAGAACACACTCAAGGAGTAGGCTACATAGATGCTTGGCAATCAGTTCAGTACTTTACAGGAACACTTTCAAGCTAAAAGTGGTAAGTCATCATGGCAATTCTCTAATTTTGATTTTCTGAGTTGTAGGAAGAAAACGCCAACCGAACGGGGATTTCTGTCAATTTCAGTCCAATAAACGACGTGAGGTCGTGGGGAAAGGTCTTGCCGTTCACGTTTTCAAATTCAATACACTCTAGTTCATTGCGGACGGTTGGGCGTGTCAGCCAGTATGAGTGTGTCACCCCGTCAAAGCCGTTCTCTGCCTTCTTGTTGAAGCGCGCATGCGACAAAAAGTGGTAGAAAACGAGTAATACGAACGATATGATACAGTCATATCATTTGCTCGCTTTAACAACTGGTGGAGAACGAGTTTGGCACCGCGCCAAACGCAGCCGCACTGACACGCCCAACCGTCCAAAGCGAACTACACTATACACACACTGTATATCGTTTGAGGGGTATCCATACCTTACAACGTCGTCGTCGACGTCCACGTAACCAACGTGATCGACGTAAGCGGGAGACGTGCGAGGGAATCGTCCGGGGCAGCGCCCGCGGCCGCGGCGCGTCGCGCGGCGAATGACTCAGCAGCTCACCCACGTGCATTTGCTAGCCGATAGCTTTGCGACTGGAGCAAATGATTTACTACAGCGTACATCCGCAACATTTAGCAGGTTTCATCAATGATTGAAAATCTAATGATGTTTTTCTTGATAGTAACACACAATTGTTTGGCGGTTCCATAAACGCAACTTCAGGAAATAAACAGATACAAAAGAAACCGGATTAGACCGTGTAAAAGACGGCAAACCAGAGCGACTCCAATGAATTTCGTGCACTGTTGAACTTTTTCATACTTCAACTGAAAACTTAACCGTAACTGAACACAAGACTCGATCCTGGGTGATATCAATATTTACCTTCCCTTCAATAACCCTATTCAAACCGCCAGAAGCACGCTTCGTCTTCTCGCCGCAAGTATGTCGCAGGCCACGCCCACCAGCTGCACCGGACGATTCTGTTGCTACACACCCGACGTAAGCGACGTGATCGGCTGCAAAAGACTTGGTGTTTATCGATTGCTGAATCGAAAACGGTCGATTTTTTTCGGACCGGTGGTTCCAACACGCGGCCGGTGGTCGTTTTTCATTTTCCTATTTCCATTTCGGTCTAGACTGCAATTTCGTCGATTGACGTTCCCTCATATCTCTATGCTTTCAAACTGTGTCTTTTTGTTAACTCCACATTTGTTCCATGTTACTGTAGCTATTACGAACATACCCTGTCTTTCATATAACACAGATTTGGTGCAATTTTGTACACATGTTTACATTTTATGACAGCTATACACATAGTTTGCATTTAAGATCAAACATGGGCTATCTTTGTTAATTGAGGCGGAGGTGGTGTAGTGACAAGTGGCGCGCTTACCACTCGCGCGGCGCCGGGTTCAAATCCCGGGTCGACTCCCGCCCAAGCCTTCTACCCTCCGGGGACGGTAAATTGGTACCAGATTCGTCTGGGAGGATAAAACACTGACTTGTACATCGGCTGGCCACCGCAAGTCATTGTATAGGCCACATCGCATTCAATAAGCCACTACGATTCTGAATGGAAGTAGAATGCGTGCCGCATCCCACAAAGGGATTGATCAACGGCGAAGACTTTATCCTTTATCCTTTTAATTACTAGTAAGCCTTGCACGTTTTCCCTTCTTGTTTTCTCTCTTTTTTTCTTCTTTTTTTAACGTGTCCCACACCTCCGACACATCATTTTTACACACAGCAGGGCCATTTCTCTCAAAAAAAGTGGGCCATACCTCTTCGAAAAAAATAGAGATTTTTCAAAAAAATAGAGATAGCGCTGATGGGGTTATGCAAGTCAAAAATGGCAAGAGGGGTCATTTTTTGACGCTTCGCGCTAAAAAATGAACCCTTTTGCCATTTTTGACTTGTACTTCTTGCAGGAAGAGCCACCCCTGGGCAGCAGCCCTGCCAAACCTTCGGGAAGACTCCTCTCTGCGTATGGGTTTGACCGCTCATGCGCTTAGATCTTAGGTCAAAAAATGCGAAAACTAGCGCCACAAATTATTTCTCCAGTTCCAGGTTTCACAAGGTAAGGGGTGGGGCCAATCACTTCAAACTTAATGACTTTGGAAATGATAACAAGGGCTGCAAATGTAAAAGGAAATGCAGGACATGTAATCTCACTAGTAATTACATTGTATCCTCGTCACCAATTTGTATATCAACGCATATAAAGAAGCAGATGCAGATTGTAACGCTAAAAATGTAGTGTACTGTTTGACATGCAATGGCTGCGGAATACAATATGTTGGAATGACAGTAAGAAAATTGAAAGAAAGAATTGGCGAACATCTTTCCAATATCTCTTCACACAAAGTACACACACCAATTATATAATCACTTCTATCCTACTCTATATAATCCGCTAAGTATGTCTGTAAGTGTGTGTGTATGTTTGCGTGTGCGTCTGTCTGTGTGTCACGAAATTCATAGCGCCTTGTCCCATTAGCAGGGAGGTTTCAAGAAGTGATGTAGGGGGTGTGACGGGAACACTATTGGTGGGTGACAGGAAGTGTCAGTTGATAAGATTCGATAAGAGGCGTTAGAAGGGGGAGGTCACCATATTCAACGCAGGTTACAGCAACAGTGGGACCTCGGATCCGAGAGGCGATATAGGGTGATATGATAGTGATACGGGACGGGAATATTATTGGCGGGTACGGAAGTGATAGGAGCTAAAAGTGACAAGGTAACATGGGAAAATCCGCTTCACCGCTCACAACAACAATGCGATCGATATGACTCAAGTATAACGATCTCAAGTGATTCCAACAGAACTCATTCCTCACTGCTTATTAGTAACGACATCATGTACGACCGCTAAGCTACCTCTATCCCTAATGCATGGGATAGAGCTAGCTTAGAAAATTATAAAAATAAAAATGTAATGATTGAAAATAAAAAAAATAATAATTAGGATAAGTAAGTAAAGAGC